ACCCACTTGTTCATTCACTTACACAGCCACTCACTCACACGCTAACTAACCCACTCGTTCATTCACTTACACAACCACTCACTCACACGCTCACTAACCCACTCGTTAATTCATCTACACAGCCACTCACACGCTCACTAACCCACTCGTTCATGCACTTGCACAACCACCCACTCACACGCTCACTAACCCACTCGTTAATTCATCTACACAGCCACTCACACGCTCACTAACCCACTCGTTCATTCACTTGCACAACCACCCACTCACACGCTCACTAACCCACTAGTTCATTCACTTACACACTAGTTAATTCACTTACACAGCCACCCACTCACACGCTCACCAACCCACTCGCTCACCACGTGGCTCTCAGTGCCACGTGGTCACCGCGAGATGGCGCTGTCCACCAGTGGCTGGTGCTGGACACTCGAACCCGGCGACTTTGACGTCGGCGTTGTGAACGACGCCGACGCAGAAGATCCCTCGGCGTTTGATCTTCCACGGAGCTCATGGTCCACCCTCAACCGCATCCAGCACTGCACGAACCATGGCAGCAGATGCGGATAACTGATGATGGCACAAATGGAAGAATAAATAAAATAAATAAAATAAAACTCTATAGCAGTGCGCGACTGGGCTCATCCAGAACGGACCGTGCATCGTATAACGGACGCAATGCTCCGATCTGCAAATACGAAGGAGAGACATCACAGCGATGCACTCGGCTGCTGCTCCTGACGCGGTGGTCTGGCCTGGCCCGCTGAATGTGAAATTGTAGCTGTTGGTCTGCATCGACATCAACCACACAACAACAACAAGTAGATTGGTGTTAATAGGGTTCATCGCGACAATTCCTCCTGCTCCTCCCCCCTCCTCCTCTCTCCTCCTCTCTCCTCCTCTCTCCTCCTCCGACCTCCCTCCCCCCTCCACCCCCTCCTCCCCCCTCCTCCCCCCTCCTCCCCCCTCCTCCCCCCTCCATCCCCCTCCTCCTCCCTCCTCCTCCCCCCTCCACCCCCTCCTTCCCCCTCCTCCCCTCTCCCCCCCTCCTCCCCCTCCTCCCCCCTCCTCCCCCCTCCATCCCCCTCCTCCTCCCTCCTCCTCCCCCCTCCACCCCCTCCTCCCCCCTCCATCCCCCTCCACCCCCTCCTCCCCCTCCTCCCCCCTCCTCCCCCTCCTCCTCCCTCCTCCTCCCTCCTCCTCCTCCGACCTCCCTCCCCCCTCCACCCCCTCCTTCCCCCTCCTCCTCCCTCCTCCTCCCCCCTCTACCCCCTCCACCCCCCTCCTCCCCCCTCCACCCCCTCCACCCCCCTCCTCTCCCCTCCACCCCCATCCTCCCCCCATCAACCATGTGAGAACGTCAGCAGCACATTTCCTCCGTCAATGGAATATTAAAGATTCCAGCCACAGTACAGCGGTGTGATTGTGGCCACGCAGAGCACACTATTGGCCGAACAGTAAACCCGTCAAGACGCACAGAGACTCATGGAGATACGTAGAGACCCAGAGAGATACTCAGAGACCCACAGAGATACGCAGAGACTCGCAGAGACTCATAGAGATGCTTAGAGACACAAAGACTCAAAGATACACTTAGAGACCCACAGATACTCACAGAGACCCATAGAGATGCATAGCGACTCATATCAATACATAGAGACCCGTACACACACACAGATACCCATATACAGAGATTCATTGTAAACAAGCCACAGTACAGCAGTGTGATTTTTGTCCACGCAGTCCACACTCTAGGCCGAGCATTAGACCCGTAGAGACGCACAGAGACTCATAGAGATACAGAGACCCTTAGAGATACTTCGAGACTCACAGACACTCGCAGAGACCCATAGAGATGCATAGCGATCCATATAGATACACAGAGACCCATGGAGATACATAGAGACTCGTAGAGATGCATAGATACCCATAGAGATACACAGAGACTCATAGAGATACACAGAGACTCATAGAGATGCATAGATACCCGTAGAGATACACAGAGACTCATAGAGATGCATAGAGACCCATAGAGATACACAGAGACTCATAGAGATGCATAGAGACCCATAGAGATACACAGATACCCATAGAGATACACAGAGACTCATAGAGATACACAGAGACCCATAGAGATGCATAGAGACCCATAGAGATACACAGAGACCCATAGAGACACACAGAGACACACAGAGACCCATAGAGATACACAGAGACCCATAGAGATACACAGAGACCCATAGAGATGCACAGAGACCCATAGAGATGCACAGAGACCCATAGAGATACACAGAGACCCATAGAGATACACAGAGACCCATAGAGATGCACAGAGACCCATAGAGATGCACAGAGACCCATAGAGATGCACAGAGACCCATAGAGATAGGGAGGTATTTTAAAAACAAGAACACATTCGCGCAATTGTGGTTATGCAACCAAAACTTTGAACCACAGAGTAACACCCAGAGACACGGAGACTCAGGGAGACTAAAGAGACCCACAGAGACCACGCTGACCACCCTCTCGTGTGCCGTGCCGGCCTTCATAGGCGCTACTCGCTAACACGGCACTTGCCCCAACAGTCTGTCAGTGAGTTTAACACGTAGGGCTTTCGCGACCAATGTTATTCATAATCAACGTTTTTGGGTTTAGATCGCGTTTATTTATAAATGTGTCGTAACCCTCCACCACCCGACACGGCCAATCAGTAAAAATGTGATTACGTCACCCTGCTGCTGCTCTATATAAGAACGGGAGACAGCAGAGCCTCACCATTCTGGCGAATTGCCCGATGATGCTGGTTGCAATTACCAGCGAAACGTCGTGCTACTCAAATTGTAAATGTTGTGGCTTCAACACACCGGTGGGCTAAAGCAGTGAACTATTTGTCTTTGTCAACGTGACACATTTTTACTGATTGGCCGTGTCGGGTGGTGGAGGGTTACGACACATTTATAAATAAACGCGATCTAAACCCAAAAACGTTGATTATGAGTCTGTCAGTGCTCTACCAGGGGGATCTTTGTATTTGTGTTGACGTGCGCTTGGCAGTCCTCATGGCGATGGGTTCGCTCACCCCCGAGGATTAACGCCAGCGATTGAAGCCGACGCCGCGTGCCGACTTTGTGTGTTGGAATTCCGCTCCCAGAAGAACTTTGTGGCTAAATGCATATCCGTGTACATATATGTACACACACGCACACACACGTGTGTGTGTGTACATATGTGTGAAGAAGAAAAAAAATACGTTTCAAATTCTCCCGTAAATATTTAACGAAATGCGGTCCGCTTGCTCGCAGCGTTGTGACTGTACGTTCTAAATCACTCTTCTTTCAGTTCTTTCTCGCGTTCAATAATGCATTCTATTTTCCTCCTGACGACTGTAATTATATTTCTTGCCCCCGCTACTTTAGCGGCCTTCCACGATCCAGACAATTTTTTTTTCTTTGGAGGCCTCCCCCCCTCCCCCCCACTGCAACCCCCACCCCTCAAGACCTCACACAGAGACCCACGGACTCGCAGATAGACTCATGGACTCGCACAGAGACCCATAGACTCGCATCGAGACCCATAGACTCGCATCGAGACCCATAGACTCACACAGAGACCCATAGACTCGCATCGAAACCCATAGACTCGCACAGAGACCCATGGACTGATACAGAGACCCATAGACTCGCACAGAGACCCATAGAATCGCACAGAGACCCATAGACTCGCTCAGAGACCCATGGACTGACACAGAGACCCATTGACTCGCATAGAGACTCATGGACTCACGTAGACTGGGCTATGATGAACCTGGTTTCTCAAGTGTAGTGAGTTGATGGTTCCTTCCTGGTCATCAATGTGACTAACACAGAGACCCATGGAATCGCACAGAGACCCATAGACTCACACAGAGACCCATGGACTCACACAGGGACCCATGGACTCACACAGGAACCCATGGACTCACACAGAGACCCATGGACTCGCACAGAGACCCATGGAGTCGCATAGACTGGATTGTGATGCGACTGGGTTTTCAGGCAAGGTCACCAAATGAATTGACACAAAACAAACCCATCCCTTGAAATTGGACGCTGTATTTACTTTATTTGGCTGAATTTCAGTTCTGAGAATTAAACATCGATTTGGCCGTGACACGATGACTCTCAATGCAACTATTCCACTATTTGTTTTACCAGCTAAGGCCCCACTGAGCTATGTAGCTCTTTTTCAGAAGTGATCTGGCTATCACAAACGATAGCTCAACGAAGTGGCTTATCATCGTGTGGAAATGGATATCAGCACCCAAATGTTATAGAAAAAACAGGGAAAACCCGGAGGACCCGGAGAAAAATCTACACGGCCACCAGGAGAGAGCGAGAGACACGCAAACTCCAAATAATACAGCAGCAGGCGTCAGGGTCGGGATCGAACCCACGGTCTCCTGTATACCAGGCGAGGTAGTTAACATCTCCTAGCCACCGTGATGATGAGAGAGAGAGAGACACGCAAACTCCAAATATACAGCAGGCGTCAGGGTTGGGATCGAACCCACGATCTCCAGTATACCAGGCGAGGTAGTTAACATCTCCTAGCCACCGTGATGATGAGATAGAGAGAGAGACACGCAAACTCCAAATATACAGCAGCAGGCGTCAGGTTCGGGATCGAACCCACGACCTCCTTGCATACCAGGCGAGGTAGTTAACATCTTCTAGCCACCGTGATTACATTTTAATGTTTTTAATAAATAAAATAAAAATAAAAGCAAACAAAAAACCACGACGTTTCGATTGCAACACAAGCGGTCTTCAGCAGGCGGAGAGAGTCTCTGTTACGTTAACCAACCAGTGGCAATCTCCGCGATGACCTTTTGACCTTTTGTTGTTGTCATCTAAAGAAATACAAACTGGTAAAATGATCTTGTTTCTTGTGTCTGCCAACCCTTGACCCCACTAACCCTGACCCCTACCTTGACCCCACCGACCCTGACCCCACCTGCCCAGGTGTTTTGGCGTCTTTCTTGGCCCTGGGTGTGGAGTTCAACCGGGAGACCTTCACCTCCTCAACATGGTACGTCCGCAGCCCAACGTTGATGGGTGGTTGGGTGGGTAGGGGGGTGAAAGAAGAAAAGAAAAACCCGCAAAACGAAAAAACGTAAACTCGCGAACAACGTTGCGCCTGGAAGTTTGAAAAATTCGTTCGAACGGCGAGCGAGAAAGAGATGCACGCACGCGCGCACACGCACACTCACTCACATGTACAAAGACTAAAGGTTCCCTGTATAGCCTGAACAGAATGTTGGGGCAAGTGCTGTTTAGCGAGCACGAGCACCTATGAAGGCCGGCACGGTGGCACACAAGGGGGTGGGTGGCCAGCACCATGCCCGGCCGCCTTTGTCTCCCCAGTGGTGATGTTTACACACTGCACCAGGTACTCATTTGAGGTTGAGTCGACCTAGGGGAGGCCCAGAACCGGTTCAGATAATCGTCACCGGTGTTGGCCGTGAGTGGGAATCGAATTCGGGTCGCTGGGTTCCTAGCGTAGTGTAGCGCTACCCGCTACAACACCGCTCCCCACACAGACACACGCACGCACGCACTCACACGTACACACGCACTCACTCATACACACGCGGATATGCACACACGCGCACATGCACGCACGCACACTCACACACCCACATGCACTCGCATGCACCCTCACACACCCACATGCACCCGCACGCACCCTCACACACTCACACACCCACATGCGCACGCACCCTCACACACCCACATGCACACATGCGCATGCACGCACACTCACACACCCACATGCACACATGCGCACGCACCCACACTCACACACATGCACACATGCGCACGCACCCACACTCACACACATGCACACATGCGCACGCACACACACTCACACACATGCACACATGCGCACGCACGCTTTTGACCAGGGGGACTATTTGCATTTTTCATTTGAGCAGTTCAATATTTTAAGAGTCGCAGAAAAAGTCAACGGCCCCCTCCTACCAAGAGCAGCACTCGGTGTGTGTGCAACCCGGCTCCTGCTCGGCGTGTGTGCAGCCGGGGTGGAGCAGAGAGGAGCCCGAGCAATCCGTGCGTGCGTTCTGGGGACGGACGGATCGCACAGGTCCAGGGTCCTCATAAATGCCAGCTGACCGCACCACCTGCTGCAACGCATGCATAATACGTGCATAATGCATGCGTGTATGCGCGTGCGTGTGCGTCTGTGTGTGTGTGTGCGTGTGTGTGCGTCTGTGCAGTTGGCGTGAGGCGCCACGAACCCCGGCAACCCGTAACGGGCCTCCCCGAGCTCGACTGTTCAATACCGTCTGGGTGGATGTTTGTCTCTCATCGTGTGCCCGTGTGCGAGGTCGACTGTTCGATACCATCTGGGTGGATCTGTGTCTCTCATCGCGTGCCCGTGTGCGAGGTCGACTGTTCAATACCGTCTGGGTGGATGTTTGTCTCTAGTCATGTGCCCGTGTGCGAGGTCGACTATTCAATTCCATCTGGGTGGATGTTTGTCTCTAGTCGTGTGCCCGTGTGCGAGGTCGACTGTTCAATACCATCTGGGTGGATCTGTGTCTCTCATCGCGTGCCCGTGTGCGAGGTCGACTATTCAATTCCATCTGGGTGGATGTTTGTCTATCATCGTGTGCCCGTGTGCGAGGTCGACTGTTCAATACCATCTGGGTGGATGTTTGTCTCTAGTCGTGTGCCCGTGTGCGAGGTCGACTGTTCAATACCATCTGGGTGGATCTGTGTCTCTCATCGCGTGCCCGTGTGCGAGGTCGACTATTCAATTCCATCTGGGTGGAACTTTGTCTCTAGTCGTGTGCCCGTGTGCGAGGTCGACTGTTCAATACCATCTGGGTGGATCTGTGTCTCTCATCGCGTGCCCGTGTGCGAGGTCGACTATTCAATTCCATCTGGGTGGATGTTTGTCTCTAGTCGTGTGCCCGTGTGCGAGGTCGACTGTTCAATACCATCTGGGTGGATCTGTGTCTCTCATCGCGTGCCCGTGTGCGAGGTCGACTATTCAATTCCATCTGGGTGGATGTTTGTCTCTAGTCGTGTGCCCGTGTGCGAGGTCGACTGTTCAATACCGTCTGGGTGGATGTTTGTCTCTAATCGAGTGCCCGTGTGCGAGGTCGACTGTTCAATACCATCTGGGTGGATGTTTGTCTCTGATCGTGTGCCCGTGTGCGAGGTCGACTGTTCAATACCATCTGGGTGGAACTTTGTCTCTAGTCATGTGCCCGTGTGCGAGGTCGACTGTTCAATACCGTCTGGGTGGATGTTTGTCTCTAATCGAGTGCCCGTGTGCGAGGTCGACTGTTCAATACCGTCTGGGTGGATGTTTGTCTCTAGTCGTGTGCCCGTGTGCGAGGTCGACTGTTCAATACCATCTGGGTGGATGTTTGTCTCTAATCGAGTGCCCGTGTGCGAGGTCGACTGTTCAATACCATCTGGGTGGAACTTTGTCTCTAGTCGTGTGCCCGTGTGCGAGGTCGACTGTTCAATACCGTCTGGGTGGATGTTTGTCTCTAGTCGTGTGCCCGTGTGTACGACTAGCACGTTGGGCTTCGTACGGTGCGAAAGAAGTTCAAAAATACGTACGGGATACACAAAGACAAAGATTCCCCCGTGCAACAGACTGTAGGGGCAAGTGCTGTTAGCGAGCACCTATGAAGGCAGGCCATGGCACACGAAGGGGTGGGTGGCCAGCACCACGCCCGACCGCCTTTGTCTCCCCAGTGGCGATGTTTACACATCACACCAGGTACTCATTTGAGGCCGAGTCGACCTAGGGGGAGGTCCCGGACAGGTGCAGATAATCGTCACCGGTGTTGGTGGCCGTGAGCGGGAATCGAACTCGGGTCGCCGGAATTCTGAGCGCAGCGCGCTAACTTTTGCGCCACCAATCGTAAAATGCACACGTACACGCACACACACACAATCACCTGGTCAAGTTACATGCATAATACATGCGTGCATACATAATACAAAGGCAGAGATTCTGCTCAAAGCCTTTAACAGATCTCTGGGGCACACGTACACACATGTATTCATACACACAACAGCAAAGACAAAGATCCCCCACATAGCCTTAACATACTTTTGGGGCAAGTGCTGTTAACACCTATAAAGGCCGGCCACGGCACGCGAGGGGGTGGGTGGCCAGCACCACACCCGGCCGCCTTTGTCTCCCCAGTGGCGATGTTTACACACCGCACCAGGTACTCATTAAGAGGCTGAGTCGACCTAGGGGAGGCCCAGGACCGGCTCAGATAATCGTCACCAGTGTTGGCCATGAGCAGGATCCGCCGGGGTTTGTAGCGCAATGCACTAACCGCGCCACTACCACTACACTACTCCACCACCGCTTGTGCCAGACTAGGTGCACCTTGAGGTTAAGTGAAGTTAGCAAGGTTTCCTGGTAGGAGGTCGCGGGACAGACCCCAGGTACCATGGGTTGGCTGACTGAGATGACTGACAAATGCACCACCCGTGCCGTTCACTGTGCCAACTCGCTGCGTTTTATCCGCCCGGCGCTCCGCTCGTTGTTGTGAGCGACGCTCCTCTGCCCTCCGCTGTTGCTGGAGGGGCGACCGCCTCCCAACTGCCCAGTGGGCAGCAGCGTCCTTCACGAGCTTCCTCCTCCACGGAGGCCGATCTTGACACGTGTAGGCACGCACACGCGCGTCTGCGTCACAAGTTCAAGTATCCAGGCCGTTGGCAATTTAAACACCGGCAGAGGTCGCAAACGGGTTTTGATTCCTTACCCGTACCCGTACCCGGCCGCACCAAATGGGTACCCGTACCCGTTCCCTACCCGTACCCTACCCGAAATGAGTGACAAACGGTGACTCACCAGTGACTCACGGCCTACCCGTACCCGGCCGCACCAGGGTCGCAAACGGCTACCCGTACCCGTACCTGGCCGGGTATGGGTAGCCGGGTATCGGGTAGGGTACGGGTATCGGGTACCCGGTTGCAACCTCTGCACCCCGGTGCCTGGCCTTGCTTGGCCCCGAGCCAGATTCAGACGACGTCGTCTCGCGAGGCAAACAGCGCAGCACGGCTTGGTCTGGCTCGGCTCGGCCAAACGGCAGTGGAACAAAAACACGATGAGCCGTGCCCATCGTGGCACGGCTCACGTGTGCCAGTGGAAACAAAAAAAACGGTGTGGCTGTGTCCCTTGCCCGAGAAGCACGGTGGCTAGGAGATGTTAACTACCTCGCCTGGTATACAGGAGGTCGTGGGTTCGATCCCGTACTCTGACGCCTGCTGTATATTTGGAGTTTGCGTGTCTCTCTCCCATCATCATCACGGTGGCTAGGAGATGTTAACTACCTCACCTGGTGTGCAGGAGGTCGTGGGTTCGATCCCGACCCTGACACCTGCTGTATATTTGGAGTTTGCGTCTCTCATCATCACGGTGGCTAGGAGATGTTAACTACCTCGCCTGGTGTGCAGGAGGTCGTGGGTTCGATCGTGTACCCTGATGCCTGCTTTATATTTGGAGTTTGCGTGTCTCTCTCTCTCTCATCATCATCACGGTGGCTAGGAGATGTTAACTACCTCACCTGGTATACAGGAGGTCATGGGTTCGATCCCGTACCCTGACACCTGCTGTATATTTGGAGTTTGCATCTCTCTCTCATCATCATCACGGTGGCTAGGAGATGTTAACTGCCTCGCCTGGTGTGCAGGAGGTCGTGGGTTCGACCCCGACCCTGACGCCTGCTGCTGTCTATTTGGAGTTTGCGTGTCTCTCTCTCTCATCATCACGGTGGCTAGGAGATGTTAACTACCTCGCCTGGTGTGCAGGAGGTCGTGGGTTCCATCCCGACTCTGACGCCTGCTGCTGTATATTTGGAGTTTGCGTGTCTCTCTCTCTCTCCACAATGGTCACGTGTATTTTTCTCCAGGCCCTTCTGTTTTTCCCTCTGCTGATGAATCTGAGCCCTCTCTCCTCATCACGTTACGGGAACCCCACCCTCCACGACCGATATTTTTCTAGGAAACCGGGGCGCCACACGCGTCGATGAGCCTCCGATCAATGGGGTATTTGTTTTGTTTGTTTTGAGTTTTTTTCTTTGTGAACGTGATTTACGTTTATTTATTACTGAACGTTATTTTTCCACCCCGCCGCTGTTTTGAAACCCCGATCGCATCGCTGGCGGTGGTGGTGGCGAGACGGTCGGCTCCATGGAACACGGTTCTAATCGCAACCCAGTCAATCGCGAGTCCATGAGTCTCTACGTGAGTCTATTAGTCTCTATGTGAGTCTAGGGGTCTCTACGTGAGTCTGTTAGTCTCTATGTGAGTCTAGGGGTCTCTACGTGAGTCTGTGAGTCTCTATGTGAGTCTATTAGTCTCTATGTGAGTCTCGGGATCTCTTCGTGAGTATGTCAGTCTCTATGTGAGTCTATGGGTTTCTACGGGAGTCTGTGCGTCTCTGTGAGTCTATGGGTCTCTATGTGACTCTATGGGTCTCTATGTGAGTCTCTATGTGAGTCTATGGGTCTCTATGTGAGTCTGCGAGTCTCTATACGAGTCTGAGCCTCTATGCGAGTCTATTGGTCTCTATGTGAGTTCATGGATCTCTTTGTGAGTCTATGAGTCTCTACGTGAATCTATTGGTCTCGATGTGAGTCTGCAAATATGTCAGCCTCTATGTGAATCTGTGGGTCTCTTTGCGAGTCTATGAGTCTCTACGTGAGAGTCTATGGTGTCTTTATATGAGTCTATGGGTTTCTATGGGAGTCTATGGGTCTCTACGCAAGTCTATTGGTCACCAGCTGAGACCACCAATTCACTGCAGTTTGAGGCTGAAACCTGGACTCGAACCCAGGATCTCGGCGGTGACGGCCTCGGCACTCGCTCAGCGTTTGTGACCTCCGAAAGCCACGTGGCCTCATTTTCGTCGTGTGTCTTTGATCCGTCCTGGAAAAATCGGTCGCTTCTTGGAAGATGAAGGAGAAGAAGTGGGGGGCTGGGGGGCTTTGTGGTGGGGGGGGGGGAAGAAAATAAATAAATAACCCCAGCGCATCTCTCCTGCACCACTTGCCTCTTGTTTCTGCTCTTGCCTTCGTTTGATCTCCCCGCTCTCCTCGCCGATGCCTGAGCTCCCAATTAGTCGCCCTCCGACTCTTCGCTTTTTTTCCCCGTGTCGGGGGCAATTTCTCGAACAATTGGGACGGAGGTTTTTTTGCGGTGAAGGGCGGCGGCAGCGGCGGGGGAACGATTGAAGCTACGTGCCAAATTATTGGGCCTTACGCGGTCAAGTAAAAAAAGATCGTCTCAGGGTTTTTTATTTTTCTCGCACAGCTACCGCTGCGCATTTCTCCCCGGGAACCTGCGGTTTGTTGCTGCGCCGACCGGGCCGGGCTGGGCCCGGCCGGGCGTCCCACCGGCTTGCGCTACCGGCGGCTCCCGGACTTCGCTCGGAGTTGCCTGGGGGTTGCGGTGGCTCGGTCCGTGACGCGGGGGCGCGATAACTCTCCCTAGCGCATGCGCGCATCACGTTGATGAGGTCGAGCAAAGTAACGACACGGACGGGACTCGTCGCGTCACCTGCACGCAGTGGCGTCAGTGTCGTTGTGTTGTTGTGTTGTTGTTGTTGTTGTCTCTATGTGAGTCTAACACGGGGAATAGCTTTGAAAGTTGTATAATCTCCTGTAGATGTAGATGCAACTGGTTCTTCACGTTCTGCAGATGTAGATGCAACTGGTTCTTCACGTTCTGTAGATGTAGATGCCACTGGTTTTTCACGTTCTGCAGATATAGATGCCACTGGTTCTTCACGTTCTGCAGATGTAGATGCCACTGGTTCTTCATGTTCTGCAGATGTAGATGCCACTGGTTCTTCGCGTTCTGCAGATGTAGATGCCACTGGTTCTTCACGTTTTGCAGATGTAGATGCCACTGGTTCTTCATGTTCTGTAGATGTAGATGCCACTGGTTCTTCACGTTCTGCAGATGTAGATGCCACTGGTTCTTCACGTTCTGCAGATGTAGATGCCACTGGTTCTTCACGTTCTGCAGATGTAGATGCCACTGGTTCTTCACGTTTTGTAGATGCAACTGGTTCTTCACGTTCTGCAGATGTAGATGCCACTGATTCTGCACGTTTTGCAGATGTAGATGCCACTGGTTCTTCACGTTTTGTAGATGCAACTGATTCTTCACGTTCTGCAGATGTAGATGCCACTGATTTTGCACGTTCTGCAGATGTAGATGTCACTGGTTCTTCACGTTCTGCAGATGTAGATGCCACCACCGCCATCTATTGCGCGGCGGTTGAACCGAACGTTTTAAGTCAGAGGAGTCCCCGCGTCGCGTTGCGTTGCATTGACGTGGCGCCGCGTCGTTCTCCGCAGGAGTCCATGGGCAAGAGTTCGGACAGCAAGTCGTACGTGATCGCCGCCCGCTGGGACCCCACGCTCGCCACCTTCCACGGCCTCAACGACGAGACCGCCAAGGGTACGTGCACTCGCGCTGCCACCGCCGGCGCGGCGGCGGCGGCGGTGACGCCCAACGCCGAGCCGACGTTTGGCGGATGTTGTCGGTGCCCGACGTTGGGCCGACGTTCGGAATCAAGATATTTATACTGGAGGAATCCGATGAGCTTTGAAGGTTTTTTAGACGGGTGTCCAGTAGTTGAGCAGGTGGTCTGATTTCGGTTGACGTTGAGCCAACGTTGGTGCGACGTTGGTTAAATGATTGTGGGTGGCTAATGGTTTTTTGGTTTCGATGCATGTGATTGCATGACTGGTTGTTCCCTTGTGATTGGTTGATTGGTTGATGAAACGCCTGCCTCACTGCCATCTGCGAGCCACAAATCAATACGAAATGTCGATGGATCAGCGGACAATATTCTCAAAGAGCGCGTTTCGGGCCAAGGTAAAGAGAGTTGCGTGGGGAGTGCAGGCCATCATCCATCCATCCATCTTGGGCCGCATTGGCACAAGACTCGACCAAAGACAACGTCAAACTTAATTAAAAAGATAATCGGGAGAAAGAATAAAATAGCCCTCCGCCCCTCCAATCGGCGCCCTTTGCTCCTCGGCGCAAGCGTGAGAATCCACGCGCACTCGGCATTTGCCGCGCCGCCTGCCACGACGTATCCACGGCGCGTCGTCCTAACTGGGAGAGACGGCGATGCCATGCCTATTAGCTGCCCCACGCTCCCCACCGCTGTCCCACGCTGCTCAACGCTGCCGCCCCCCCCACCCACGTCGTCAGCGGGAGATGAAATGGAGGCCAGCGAAGGTCATCATCATCATCATCATGATCGCGGAATCGGCCACACGGAACGGACGGGCGGAGGGACGGGCGGATGGACGGACGAACGGACGGACATAAATGGACTGATGGACGGATGGATAGATTAACAAATGGACAGCAGGACAGACGAAGGGATGGACCAATGGGCTGACAGCCAGACGGATGGACTGACAGATGGATAAGACAGATCGACAGACCATCTCCCAGCGCATCAGTTGAAATCATGCGGGGGGGGGGGGGTAAGTTTCTTAAATCACCCCCCTACCCCTCCCCCCTGCTTGTGTTCACCTGGCAGTGTTAACGTGCTCACCCATTGACAGATGAACCCGCCCGCCTACCAGAGAAGCGCGTAGCGGCCACCGTGCAAGAGCACAGGGGGCTCTCTGGGGCCTCCCTCTGGTGGAGTTGGAGGCACCTTCTGACCCGCAGCAGCCAGAGGCGTGAGCAGGGCAGTTGCGGGGATGCTCCTGTACTCCAAGAGCCGTCCGTCCCCGGCTAGGGTACACGGCTGAGGGTCTCCGCGCTTTGGGGGGTGAGGGCTTTTTGAGGGGTGGGTGGGGGGGGGGGCACGCGCTTTGAGAGGGGGCCCTCGATTCGACGTCCACGGTGTCTTCAGATGTCAAACAATTTTCTGAACTGGGCCTCTCCTAGGTCCACTCAGCCTCAAATAAGTACCATGGTGCGGTATAGTGTTGGCCGTGCCGGCCATCATAAGTGCTCGTTAACAGCACTTGCTCCAACAGTCTGTGGAGGCTATACGGGGGATCTTTGTTCCGCGGATGCCGATGAATGGGACGCGACGCGCGAGCGCGGCCGGTCGTCGCCGCCTTCACGTCTCCCCCCCCCTCGCCCTCCTCTCCCTCCTCTCTCCGCAGACAAGATGGCTCACCTGACGGTGGCGGCCGACCTGGTTGTCACCGAGGTGCAGGACCCGGTTCGATTCCTGTTCGAGGCGCCGGCTCGTGTGTTCCCGGCGACGGAGCGGTTCTGGTATTTCGGCCGGCGAGCCTTCACCGACACCTTCCACCTGCACCTGCGGCAGGCGAGTCTCTCCTCCCGGCGTCGGAGCTCGCTCGCCGGCTCGCCCCGGCGGTCGTCCGTCCGCTCGGTCGGTCGATCACCCGCTCGCCACGCACGCGCTCTCACCCGGTGGCCGTCTACTTCTTCTTTATTGCATGGGCCCCGCGGGGACCACCGGTGGCCCCCCCCCTCCCCCCCCCCCTGGTGGCCTCTAGTTCGACCCCTGACGTGCGGGCCCCACCGAGAACACACAAAGAGTGAAAAAACCCCATCGTCATCGTCATCATTGTCATCATCGTCATCATCGTCATCATTGTCATCATCATCGTCATCATCGTTATCATCGTCATCATTGTCATCATCGTCGTCATCATCGTCATCATTGTCGTCATCATCGTCATCATTGTCATCATTGTCATCATCGTCATCATCGTCATCATCGTCATCATCGTCATAATCGTCATCATTGTCATCATCGTCGTCATCGTCATCATCATCGTCATCATCGTCGTCATCGTCGTCATCATCGTCATCATCGTCAACATCGTCATCATTGTCGTCATCGTCATCATTGTCGTCATCATTGTCATCATCGTCATCATCGTCATAATCGTCATCATTGTCATCATCGTCATCATCGTCATAATCGTCATCATTGTCATCATCGTCGTCATCGTCATCATCATCGTCATCATCGTGCTGCTGTCAAAACCCCCAGTGGCTTCAAATGGCGCGGTGTCCCCCGCGTGCTCCTGATGTGGTCTTGTCGGCGAAAGTGCCCAACCCCCCCACCCCCCCCCGCAAGTTCGTGAAGATCGCTGGGACCGACACACGCTGAGACCAGGCTCACCACGAGGGGGCCCACGCTACGCGAGGCCGGAGGGGCCCAGGTGCTGGGAAATGAAGGGGGGTGGAGGGGGGAGGGGGGAGGTGGGGGGGGGGGGTGCCTTTTAATTGCTCTCTCCGGGGCTCATTCCACAGCGGAGGCTGCTCTTCCACTACTGGAGTGGTGGAGGGGGGGGCAGAGTGGAGCAAAGAGTGGAACGGTGGGGGGCAGAGTGGAGAAGGGGGGGGGGGAGTGCGGGATCGGGGAGGGGGCTTTGAATTGAGATGGGGGTGTGTTAGACTGAGAGGGTGCGAGAGAGAGCGAGAGAGAGAGTGGATGGAGAATTTATTATTCTTTTTTCTCACGTTGATGGCGTTTCTGGTATTAGGCGTCTGTGTACGCGTGTGTGTCACTGTGTGTGCGCGTGCGTGTCACTGTGTGTGCGTGTCACTGTGTGCATGTGCGTGTCACTGTGTGTGCGTGCATGTCACTGTGTGTGTGCGTGTCACTGTGTGTGCGCGTGCGTGTCACTGTGTGTGTGCGTGTCACTGTGTGCATGTGCGTGTCACTGTGTGTGCGTGCGTGTCACTGTGTGTGTGCGTGTCACTGTGTGTGCGCGTGCGTGTCACTGTGTGTGCGTGCGTGTCACTGTGTGTGTGCGTGTCACTGTGTGTGCGCGTGCGTGCGTGTCACTGTGCGCGCGTGCGTTTCACTGTCTGTGGGGAGCGGTGGTGTAGAGGTTAGCGCGCTGAACTACGAACTCGACGACCCGAGTTCGATTCCCGCTCGTGGCCAACGCTAGTGACAATTTTCTGAACTGGGCCTCACCTAGGTCTACTCAGCCTCAAATAAGTACCATGGATGCGGTGTAGTGTTGGCCGTGCCGGCCATCATAATTGCTCGTTAACAGCACTTGCTCCAACAGTCTGTGGAGGCTATACGGGGGATCTTTGTCTTTGGAAAGCCGCATTGTGGCGGTGAGCGCGTTGCACTACGAACCCGGCGTAGAGCCGAGTTCGATTCCCACTCACGGCCAACACCAGCGACGATTATCTGAACGGGTCCTGGGCCTCCTCCCCTAGGTCGACTCGGCCATAAAAATGAGGACCTGGTGCGGTGTGTGGTAAACGTCACCACTGGGTGATACAAAGGCGGCCGAGCATGGCACGGTGCTGACCACCCCCCCTCCCCACCTCGCGTGCCTTGTCATCCTTCGCCGCTACCGAAAGGCAAACTTGATTTGAAGCTAAAGGCACTTGTCCCCAACGGTCCGTTGAAGGCTATACGGGGGATCTTTGTCTTTGCCACGTCTCGTGGCTGGGCCCCCCCCCCACCCCCCCACCCCCCCCACCCCCCCCACCCCCCACCCCCCCCACCCCCCCACCCCCCACCCCCCCCACCCCCCCACCCCCGACCTCCGCCTGCTGGAACGCGCTCGCGGGGCCACTCCGCTCGCCGCTTCGCGGCTCGCCATGAAATTGGAATCGATTTTTATTCGCCGCCGTCTCGCAGGCGACCTGACGGCCGTCTACGAGACGATGATGGGGCCCCCCGGGCCTCTCCCCTTCCTCCCCTGCTCCCCTCCCCTGCTCCCCTGCCCTGCTCCCCTCCCCTGCTCCCCTCCCCTGCTCCCCTGCTCCCCTCCCCTGCTCCCCTGCTCCCCTGCTCCCCTGCTCTCCTCCCCTACTCCCCTGCTCCCCTCCCCTGCTCCCCTCCCCTGCTCCCCTCCCCTGCTCCCCTGCTCCCCTCCTCCCCTGCTCCCCTCCCCTGCTCCCCTCCCCTCCTCCCCTGCTCCCCTCCTCCCCTGCTCCCCTCCCCTACTCCCCTGCTCCCCTCCCCTGCTCCCCTCCCCTCCTCCCCTGCTCCCCTCCTCCCCTGCTCCCCTCCCCTACTCCCCTGCTCCCCTCCCCTGCTCCCCTCCCCTCCTCCCCTCCTCCCCTGCTCCCCTCCCCTGCTCCCCTCCCCTCCTCCCCTCCTCCCCTGCTCCCCTGCTCCCCTCCCCTGCTCCCTTCCTCCCCTGCTCCCCTCCCCTGCTCCCCTCCTCCCCTGCTCCCCTCCCCTGCTCCCCTCCCCTCCTCCCCTCCTCCCCTGCTCCCCTGCTCCCCTCCCCTGCTCCCCTCCTCCCCTGCTCCCCTCCCCTGCTCCCCTCCCCTCCTCCCCTCCTCCCCTGCTCCCCTGCTCCCCTCCCCTGCTCCCCTCCCCTGCTCCCCTCCTCCCCTGCTCCCCTCCCCTGCTCCCCTCCCCTCCTCCCCTCCTCCCCTCCTCCCCTGCTCCCCTGCTCCCCTCCCCTGCTCCCCTGCTCCCCTCCTCCCCTGCTCCCCTCCCCTGCTCCCCTCCCATCCTCCCCTCCTCCCCTGCTCCCCTGCTCCCCTCCCCTGCTCCCCTCCCCTGTTCCCCTGCTCCCCTGCTCCTCTCCCCTGCTCCCCTCCCCCGCGTGTGCCACCCTCGGCTGCCCGACGAGCAGGCCGGCCGAACGGGCACCGCAACCGAACCCCCGACAAGTCGGCGCGGGGACGCAACGTTCGCTCTGGCCAGGAATTTGGTCTTACGAGCCGCGAATGATGAATGCGCGAATGCCGGGGGAGGGGGCATGGGGGGTGGGTGGGGGTGGGGAGGGGAGGGGGCATGGGGGGTGGGTGGGGGTGGGGAGGGGAGGGGGCATGGGGGGTGGGTGGGGGTGGGGAGGGAGCGTGGTGGGGGGGGGGGGGCATGCGAGAGAGACGTGGGCTCAGCGTGGAGGCCCTCTGGGCCAGCGAGTGGTGCCGGAGTTGCGGACGCAATCAGCGGGGACGCTGGGCGTGAGATGCGGGGACGCTGATTGCGTGAGATGCGGGGACGCTGGGTGTGGGATGCGGGGACGCTGATTGCGTGGGATGCGGGGAGCAGCGGTTGACCCCCACGGCCGCGTCAAAGGGAGGTGTGGATTTTGTTTGTGCGATGAGTTAGTCCATTCGTCTGTCCGTCTGTCTGTAACACGGGGGCGGGGGGGGGGGGGTCTCATAACGATGAACGAACCCTTCCGCGGTGGTGATGATGACGATGACCGTGACGACGATGATTACAACGATGATGGCGATCACGATAGTCATGCTGATGATGCTGGCATCAACGAGGTCGGTGATGGTGATGACGACACCGATGACGATGATACCAGTGACACAGGCGATGGTGATGATGACGATACCATCGACCCAGGCGATGGTGATGATGGTGATGATGATGGTGATGACGATACCAGGGACCCAGGCGATGGTAATGATGATGATGACGATGACTTTCACCAATGACCCCGGCGGCGATGACGATGACGACGACGACGATGATGGTGATGACGTCACCGCTGCTGCCCTCCCAGCTGCCCCCACGGGACGAGACGACGCCGGACGAGGCTCGGGCCTGCCCCTACGAGCTGCTCGCCCTCACGAGCGAGTCGGAGCGACAGCGCGCCACCACCGCATCCACCACCGCCACCACGGGAGGGGCGGGAGGGGTCCTGGCGGGAGTGTGGGGGGGCGGCGGAGGGGGGGTCCCGTCGTCCCCGTCGCTCACGCTGTCGGCGCGGGGCTCGCAGAGTTCGGCGTTCGCCACCCCCACGGAGGATGAGGACGACGGAGGTGAGGGGCGGGGGGGGGGGCGGGCGAAAGTGGGTGAGGGTTGGTGAGTGTGCGTGAGGGTTGGTGAGTGTGGGAGTGGGTGGGAGTGGGTGGGTGAGTGAGAGTTGGTGAGTGGGTGAGTCTGGGTGAGAGTGGATGAGAGTGGATGAGTGTAAGTGAGAGTGAGTGAGAGTGGGTGAGTGAGAGTGAGTGAGTGTGGGTGAGAGTGAGTGAGAGTGGGTGAGTGTGGGAGTGGGTGAGTGTGGGTGGGTGAGTGAGTGTGGGTGAGTGAGAGTGAGTGAGTGAGAGTGGGTGAGTGAGTGTGGGTGAGTGGGTGAGTGTGGGTGCGTGAGAGTGGGTGAGTGTGGGTGGGTGTGGGTGGGTGGGTGAGAGTGGGTGAGTGAGTGTGGGTGAGTGGGTGAGTGTGGGTGCGTGAGAGTGGGTGAGTGTGGGTGGGTGTGGGTGGGTGGGTGAGAGTGGGTGGGTGAGTGTGGATGAGTGTGGGTCCATGTGGGTGAGAGTGGCAGCAGTGGCAGAGTGGTGAGTGTGCACACTGCGCTACGATCACGGCGACTAAAGTTCGATTCCCACTCATGTTCAGCACCGGTGGAGAATCTCTGACCCGCTGCCTGGGCCTCCCCTAGATCGACTTAAACTTAAATGAGTACCTCGTACACACCTGTCAACCCCTTCTCAGTGCCCTACCTCATTAAAGACCAATGCAGACCCTATTGGTCACCTCGTGTCCCGTATAAATCTTAAGGTTCATCCTACAAAGTCCCATCACAACGGAGACACAAACAGACAAACCATTGTTTGCTGCCCGTATTGAAACGGCCGTGAAGCCGTATGGACCCGAAAACTCAATTTCCCTGCGCGAGAACACGGGGCAAACCGTATCGGCCGACAGCTATTCTAGCGGAGTATGTTAACACCATCAGCGCCGGGGAGCGAAAGGCAGCCGGGTATATAATATTCTGAACATCTGCAGTTTTAGTTAGACGTTTAATATTTTCAAGTGAATTTTATGCTAAATTTCAGCTTTCCAACGGCTCCTTTTTAATAAATGTTTTCTCCTACAACATCACAGTGCAGCGCCACATTAAATACGCACTACAATGACGATAGCTTAAAGTGATTTGAAGCATGTTTTATTTTCAAAATGGAAATATGTTTTGGGGGGGGGGGGGGGGCAGAGCTTTGTGACGTCATATTTGAGGGGGGGAGGGGGGGTCAAAAATCGGCCAAAATCGCGTGACGTCATTGATGGTGCGGTGTAGTTAATAAACTCCTCCACTCGAGAGGCAAAGGCTGCCGGGATGTGGTGCTGGCTACCCACCCGGTCACGTGCGCCGTGCCGGCCTTCCCAGGTGCGGCCACTCGCTCAGCAGTGCTTGCCCCGAGGGTCTGTTCAAGGCCACGGTGGGGTAGCCTCTCTGCCTTTGGCGTATCGGGCAGCACACAATGTGACTGCGTTGTGACTCCAGCCCGTCCGCCAGCAGCAGTTTAGCTGTCGGCCTCGACGTGCAACCTAGCCTGGCACACGCGGCGGCGGCGTGGTGGTGGTGGCGTCAAAAGCAAAGGTCCCCCGTGCAGCCTGAACGGACTGTTGGGGCAAGTGCTGTTGGCGAGTAGCACCGATGAAAGCCGCCACTGTGGCACGCGAGGGGGTGGGTGGCCAGCACCACACCCGGCCGCCTTTGTCTTCCCACTGGTGATGTTTACACACCAGGTGTTCATTTGAGGCTGAGTCCACCTAGGGGAGTCCCAGGGCCTGTTCGTGGTTGGCCGTGAGCGGCAATGGAACTCGGCTCGCCGGGTTCGCAGCGCAGCGCTGACTGCTACGCCACCGCACCCACGTTCCGTTGGCGACTCGCGACGTCACGTGGCCCCACCACCAACCCACCACGTGTCCCACCCTGTCGCGGCGAGACCCCTAAACAAAATCCGCGGCCTCCGAGGACCGAACCCAACCCCCACCCAGCCCCCCCCAGCCCCCAGCTCACCGCTACAACGGCAACGATCCTGGAACCCCAACGGGCTCCTCCCGCCCCGCTGAACATTAAACGCGCGCCGCTCCGATCGTTCGACCGACGGCACCGACCGAGCGAGCGACCGGTGATCGATGCGCCGCCGATTGATCGGAACAGCGTCCGCGCGCCGGTGTCGCCGCTAATTGAACCACGCGGTGTGCGCGGGCGTGCGTGATGGGGATGGCGGGGGGAGGCGGGGGTGTTGTGATGGGTGAGAGAGTCGGGGGCGGTGGATAATTACCAGCGAGCGCCGAACCCCCCGTGGAGGGTTGGCGGTGAGTTCCCGCTCCGTGGCCGCCACCGCTGCCGACGCGTCGGCGTTTGGCGGCGCGAGAACGGTTTTGTATTTGCCGCAATAGAGGTTTGTTTTTGGGTCGTGCGTTGGATTGTGAAGTCCACGGCATTTACAACCTCGGTACGACGTTTCGCCAGTAGTAATTGATGATGCTAGTTGTAATTATTGGCAAAGCGTCGTATTTGGATTGTAAATGTTGTGGCTTGGCTCTCCAACACACAACCGGTTAGTGCTGTATTAGTATACTACACTATACACTACACTATACACTACACTATACACTAGTGCTGTACTAGTGTACTACACTATACACTACACACTACACTATACACTACACTATACACTACACTACACTACTAGTGCTGTACTAGTATACTACACTATACACTACACTATACACTACACTATACACTACACACTACACTATACACTACACACTGCACTATACACTACACTACACACTAGTGCTGTACTGGTGACGAATTGGCCACGTTCTGTTTACGTGACAACCCTTACTAGTCGACTGTGTCGGGTGGTGGCAGGTTTAACGACACATTTATTTATTTACGCGATCTAACCCCAAAAAAAACCTCTTATGGTTGAGATTGGTCGCGAAAGCCCGCTACCAGGTGTTAAGGTGGTTTTGTCTTTATCCGCCCGGCACGTTCGTGCACGGGCCTGGCTCCCCCCCCGCCCCCCTCACAATGGCCATGTCGGAGACGCTGAGAGCCTGGGTTCGAATCTGGGCTGCGGCGATTAAACCGGGATCGTAGTGAGTTGATGGTCTCAGCCCAGACACCAGTGACTCACATAGAGAACCATAGACTTACATAGAGACCCATAGACTCACATAGAGACTCATAGATGCACACATAGACTCATAGACTCACATAGAGACTCATAGACGCACACATAGAGCCATAGACTCACATAGAGACCCATAGACTTACATAGAGCCATAGACTCACATAGAGAACCATAGACTTACATAGAGACTCATAGATGCACACATAGAGCCATAGACTCACATAGAGACTCATAGACTCACATAGAGACTCATAGATGCACACATAGAGCCATAGACTCACATAGAGACTCATAGACGCACACATAGAGCCATATACTCACATAGAGACCCATAGACTTACATAGAGACTCATAGGCTTACATAGAGACCCAAAGACTCACATAGAGACTCATAGACTCACATAGAGACTCATACTCACATAGAGCCATAGACTCACATAGAGACCATTGACTTACACAGAGACCCATAGACTCACATAGAGACTCATAGATGCACACATAGAGCCATAGACTCACATAGAGACTCATAGACACACACATAGAGCCATAGACTCACATAGAGACCCATAGACTTACATAGAGACTCATATGCTTACATAGAGACCCATAGACTCACATAGTGACTCATATACTCACATAGAGACTCATAGACTCACATAGAGACTCATAGACTCACATAGAGCCATAGACTCACATAGAGACCGTTGACTTACACAGAGACCCATAGACTCACATAGAGACTCATAGACGCACACATAGATCCATAGACTCACATAGAGACTCATAGGCTTACACAGAGACCCATTGACTTACGCATCGAGACCCATAGACTTACACAGAGATCCATAGACTTACATAGAGACCCATTTACTCATGTAGTCTGGGTTGTGATCAAACCGGCTTCTCAGGCGCAGTGAGTTGGTGGCCTCAGCCCAGACACCGGCAAACGCGGCACACCACGTCCAGTATCCCCTCCCCTCTGTAGCCGTGACCGCGGCCATAGCCGGTCACGTGGACGGCTGCGACCTCCCCCCGTGGAACGTTCACAAATTAACGACGACGGTGACGTGTGCCGGCAGGCGCGTTCCGCACGCACTCGCCCGCGACCGCTGAGCTAATTGGGTAGCGATGTGCTGTGTGTGGTGAGGGGAGGGCGGGGGCTGGGGGGCTGGGGTGTTGGGGGTGGGTGATTAGTAGGTGTTGAGGGGGGGGTCGGTGGGGTAGTGTTCGCACTGTCCGTGTCCGAACACGGTGACCGCCATCGGGGGTGCGATGAGAGTGACCGGGGCACCGCGGCCAGATCCAACGCTCGCCCTGACCACGCTCACCCTGACCTAACTCATCCTCGCTCACCCTCGCTCACCCTCACTCACCCTCACTCACCCGCACTCACCCTTGCTCACCCTCGCTCACCCGCGCTCACCCTCGCTCACCCTGGCCACACTCACCCTGACCATGCTCACCCTCGCTCACCCGCACTCACCCTGACCATGCTCACCCTCGCTCACCCTCGCTCAACCTCGCTCACCCTAACTCACCATTACCACACTCACCCTCACCACGCTCACCCTCGCTCACCCTCGCTCACCCTCGCTCACCCTGGCCACACTCACCCTGACCATGCTCACTCTTGCTCACCCTCGCTCACCCTAACTCACCATTACCACGCTCGCCCTGACCATGCTCACCCTCGCTCACCTGCACTCACCCTTACCACACTCACCCTCACCACGCTCACCCTCGCTCACCCTCGCTCACCCTGGCCACACTCACCCTGACCATGCTCACCCTTGCTCACCCGCACTCACCCTCGCTCACCCTGACCACACTCATCCTCGCTCACCCGCACTCACCCTGACCATGCTCACCCTCGCTCACCCTCGCTCACCCACCCTCAAGCCGCTCGCCATTCTGACCGTCGACGGTCCTCGTAGGAGATCCCGAGCGCGCCTGAGATCGAGCTCCGAGGGGGCGTTAGATGGCAAAATGAAAAACAAAGTTGTAGTTTCGTTTCGTTTCGCTCGCCGATCGCGTCCGTGGTGTCCGGCACGTGACCCTGCGGGTCACGGTTGGAGGCCCTGCCGGGACGCTTCTGAAGGTGGTTGGGAACCGGAGGTGGGGCCGGGTGGCTCGGGGTTCTACTCCGGGTTGCAGCCCCAACCACAGTGGTGACGCTGGGGTTCGGGTCTAGTGAGTTGGTGGTCTCAGCTGATGAATTCGAGACCCATAGACTCGCATTGAGACCCATAAACTCGCATCGAGACCCGTAGACTCACATAGAGATGCGCAGACTCACAAGGAGACTGATAGACTCACACAGAGACCCATAGACTCACACAGAGACCCATAGACTCACACAGAGACCCATAGACTCACACAGAGACCCATAGACTCACAGAGAGACCCATAGACTCACACAGAGACCCATAGACTCACAGAGAGACCCATAGACTCACACAGAGACCCATAGACTCACACAGAGACCCATACACTCACATAGAGACCCGTAGACACGTATAGAGATCCATCAACTCACACAGAGACCCATAGACTCACATAGAGACCCATAGACTCACATAGAGACCCATAGACTCACATAGAAACCCATAGACTCACAAAGAGACCCATAGACTCACAAATAGACCCATAGACTCACACAGAGACCCATAGACTCACACAGAGACCCATAGACTCACACAGAGACCCATACACTCACATAGAGACCCGTAGACACGTATAGAGATCCATCAACTCACACAGAGACCCATAGACTCACCAATAGACCCATAGACTCACACAGAGACCCATAGACTCACACAGAGACCCATAGACTCACAAAGAGACCCATAGACTCACACAGAATCCCATAGACTCACACACAGAGTCGCCCGGCGTATCGGCTGTAAAGCCGTGTGACTGGCACTCACCTCTCCCTCTCTCTCCCTCCTCCGTTGTCGTCCCACAGACAACGACGAGCCGCTGCTGAGCGGCTCGGGCGACGTGTCACGTGAGTGCGCGCAGAAGCTGCTCGAGGCCTGGTCCGACCTGCTCGCCAAGTGGTACGCACACGCACAAGGACACGCACAAGGACACGGACACGCACAAGGACACGGACACGTGCGGACACGCACAAGGACACGGACGCGCACGGACACACACAAGGACACGGACACGCACGGACACACACAAGGACACGGACGCGCACGGACACACACAAGGACACGGACACGCGCGGACACGCACAAGGACACGGACACGCGCGGACACGCACAAGGACACGGACACGTGCGGACACGCACAAGGACACGGACACGTGCGGACACACACAAGGACACGGACACGTGCGGACACGCACAAGGACACGGACAGGTGCGGACACGCACAAGGACATGGACGCGCACAGACACACACAAGGACACGGACACGCACGGACACGCGCACGGACACGCGTACGGACACGAGTACGGACACGCGTACGGACACGCGTGCGGACACGTGTATGAACATACGTACGGACACGCGTATGGACACGCGCGCACGCGGTTTACCACTCGGACGCGGCGTTGTAGCAACGGGGCGTGCGCGTTTTGTGTCGTGCGAACGGCGTTTCCGAGGGACGGCGTCGCGACGTCTAGCGAGCACTTGGCCACGTTAGACCATCGGGCCCCGAAGGGACACGGTGGGACGTGAGGCCACCGCCCGGCCAGGGATAGAACTCTCCCACTCGCTCCCCCGACCGTCCACGCTGCCCGGGCTGCCCGGTGAACGCCAATCCCTCACCGGCGGCGAGAGCGACGATTTGTGAGGCCACGTCAGGCCGAGTTAGCCGGCGTCGTCGTCGTCGTCGCTCGATTTTGGTGGTTCCCCGGTAGGTCGCCGGCGCGTCTGGCCGAGGTCGGGGGTCAGGGGTGAGGGTTAAACGGCGCTCGCTAAGTGATCCGGCGTCGGGGTTGAAGGGTCACAGGTGGCTACGCGAGGGGGGGTGGGGCGACCGTGCGAAATTATACCGCGCGGCCACGTCCCAACAAATCCCCGGCGGCCGTGCTCGATCCACTGCTGGATGAACGCTTCTCTCCCCAGGCCGGCATCGCCGCCACCACCACCTCTAGCGATCCGGCCGCAGCGTCAGCCAGGGTCGTCCGTAGTAGGGGGGGGAGGAGGGGGGGTGCGCCCCCCCCCCTCCCCCCGACGCCTTCAAACCAAACCCGGTGACCCGAGTCCGATTCCCGCTCACGGCCAACACCGGTGACGATTGTCTGAATCGTTCATGCGCCTCCCCAAGGTCGACTCGGCCTCAAATGAGTACAGGCGTGGTGCGTAAGCGCATCACCAGGCAAAGGCGGCCGGGCGTGGTGTTGGCCACAATCGGTGCCACTCGCTAACAACGCTTGCCCCTGTGTCGCCTGTTAAAGGCTACACGGAGATCATTACTTTTGTGGTTGTGTGTTTGTGTGCACGGCCGACAGCACTTGCCCCAACAGCCTGTCAAAGGCTACACATGGCATCTTTGCCTTTGTGTGTCCGCGTGTGCCGCTGCGGGCGGGCGCGCGCGTGTCGGAGCGGACGGCACGCGGTGCCAGCGGAATATCTCTCCGTGTCACCGTCATCGATTCGGAATTGACTCGTCGCCCCGGGGGTGGCGGGGGTGGTGGCGCACAGAGTCTCGGGGGGGGGGGGCGGGGGGGGGTCGCATTGGCCGTGTCGGTGAGCGACGAGGCCGATCCGCCGACATCCTGAGCTTCAAATCCAAACGGATCAGCGCGGACTTCATTTATAACCGGGACGACGCGGCCCGCCGAGGCCGCTCCGTCATCCCTCTCTCGGTGTCGCGAGCGGAGGACGGCTCGTAGGCCCTGGCCGGTCGTCTGCCTCTCGTGACTTGTGCTGATTAGACGTCTTGAGCGTCAAACGGCGAATTGAGAACACTGGTCATCAACAGTCACGAAAGCTTTAAATCAAAGGTTAAACTAAATCAAGATCGGCCAGTTCACCAGCATCGATGCGTGACAGCCTGCCTCTGATGCTGCTGCTGCTGATGAGACACCGGTGTGGCGAAACTCGTCCAGAGTCTGTTCGTCTTGCAACAATAATAACAACAACAACATCAATAACACTGGTCAACAAAAAAAACCATTTTTTTCTGGCCTGGACTTTTGCAGCTGTTTTAGACTAATTTCAGGGTGCCGATTCCAAATCTGATCTCAGATTTGCTCGATCACATCTCATTTTTATGCTATCGGCATACCCCATTTTCATTGATTTTACCCGAAATTAACTCCGTCACTTATGATTGCAAGTTGTTGCGAGTCAGTGACTGCTTTAGTGGTAAAATATGGTGCTGTATTTTTAGGATAGTGTGTTTATAATACCATTTTATGTAGATATCCACATTTATTTAATATTTTTCTTCTGCAGTTTTTATTGAAAATGCAATATTTGATTTCTCAAAAACCTGATGTGATGGACAAAAACTGATGCCAGATTTGGAATCAGCACCCCAAAATTACATTAAAACCGTTGGAATACCTTATGCCAGAAAAAGTGTGACCAGTGTAATTGCATCAACAGCAGCGAACAGCGATCTCGGTCTCCAGGTGTCGCCCACAGATGGGATGCGGTGGTCAGCGATGCAAAAGCTCGCACAGAGATCCACAGACTCAAGCATGGAGACCCATGGACTTACACAGAGATCCATAGACTTGCACATAGACATCCATGGACTTACACAGAGCTCTATAGACTCACGCATAGAGAGCCATAAACTTACACAGAGATCCATAGACTCACGCATAGAGATCCATAGACTCACGCAGAGATCCATAGACTTACACAGAGATCCATATACTTACATAGAGATCCATAGACTCACGCATAGAGATCCATAGACTTACACAGAGATCCATAGACTCACGCATAGAAATCCATAGACTCACGCATAGAGATCCATAGACTCACGCATAGAGATCCATAGACTCACGCATAGAGATCCATAGACTTACACAGAGATCCATAGACTCACGCATAGAGATCCATAGACTTACACACAGAGATCCATAGGTTCACTCATAGGAATCCATAGACTCACGCATAGAGATCCATAGGTTCACTCATAGAGATCCATAGGTTCACTCATAGGAATCCATAGACTCACGCATAGAGATCCATAGGTTCACTCATAGAGATCCATAGATTCACTCATAGAGACCCATAGACTCACACAGAGATCCATAGACTTACACACAGAGATCCATAGACTCACACAGAGACCCATAGACTCACACAGAGATCCATAGACTTACACACAGCACTTGCTCCTGCAGTCTGTTAAAGCTACACGGGGGGGATGATCTTTTATCTGTGGTCCATAGTTATCTTTGCATGACCACAATCGTGGCACTTGTGGCTGGTGCCTTTGACATTTCCATACACGGCAGGGAGACGCACACACCATCGACCTGCCGCTGACGTTCTGATTGCGGGTGACGGTCCCACCGCCGGTGTCTCCGAGGCGGGGAGGAATGTGAATGCCAGGAGGTGTGCCGCATCCAGCTCCCGAATGAGGAGCTGGTCACAGCGAATCAGAATAACGACTTTGTGTGCCGGAGGAATCCGATGAGCCGCAAAGCTCTTTCTTTCACGGATGTGATTGCGGACGACCGCTTCGTGCCACTCCGTTCGCCGGCGTTGCCGCGTGTCCGGGCGGAGCGAATTCGACGATGTGGCGACGAGCGGTAGCGGCGGCGGTCCCAGAGGAAGGGGGGGGGGGGCACGGGATGATTGGGACTTGGTGTCTGTGGCGGCGATGATATAAACCAACGTGATGAAGCCGCTGCGGCACGAGTCAAAACAGAACCCGACACGCGCTCGCCCCTGCGGACGGCTCGGACGGAGCAAAGCGCCCGTCGGGTGAATTCATCCCGGAGCTGAACGTTATCGGTACATATCAGCGCGAGGAGGAGTGGCGCGCGCATGCACACACGTGCGCACGCACACACGTGCGCGCGGGGATCATCCTCCTCGGGGGGAGCTCGCGACAGATGTCGCGTCTTGTTTAACCGCGGGTGTGTGATCAATAACGAGCCTCTCGCCAATTAATAATTCATCTCGACGCGCGCCCCGATCGCTCGCGACGTCGAGGCGGGCGCGTAGAGACGCGCGGGGGGGGGGGGGGTAGGGGGAGGGGGTGGCCTGCATGCCCCCCCCCCCCTCAACACGCTTCGATCGCACGGGGGCGGTTACGTGGTCTGGGGAGGTCAGCGGGCGGGGGGCAGGGGGGGGTGTGGTGACGTGGCCCCGGACGGAAGTGCGTTGTCTACCTGTTGCACAGGTTTCTTATCCTGTTTAATATTTCTACGCAGACAGAGAGAGAGCATCTGAGCTCAAGGCGCTCTACGGCAGAGTTTCATCGCGGGAACAATAACGGAGTTGATTCGGATGGCAGGGGCAGCGCACGAGGGGGACTACAGGGGAGGGATGGGGTGGAGTGGAGGGGCGAGGGGAGGGAAGATGAAGGGGGAAGAAGAGGTGAGGATTTAAAAGAGGAACAGAAAGAGGTTAAGGAGGGGGACTGCTTAATGTACTGGGGTAGTGCTTAGTCTATGAGCAGTGGGCAGTGCTGAGTCTATGGTGCAGTGCTGAGTCTATGGGCAGTGGGCAGTGCTGAGTCTATGGTGCAGTGCTGAGTCTATGGTGCAGTGTTCAGTCTATGGGCAGTGCTGAGTCTATGGTGCAGTGCTGAGTCTATGGTGCAGTGCTGAGTCTATGGGCAGTGCTGAGTCTATGGTGCAGTGCTGAGTCTATGGTGCAGTGCTGAGTCTATGGGGTAGTGCTGAGTCTATGGGCAGTGCTGAGTCTATGGTGCAGTGCTGAGTCTATGGTGCAGTACTGAGTCTATGGGCAGTGCTGAGTCTGTGGTGCAGTGCTGAGTCTATGGTGCAGTGCTGAGTCTATGGGCAGTGCTGAGTCTATGGTGCAGTGCTGAGTCTATGGTGCAGTGTTGAGTCTATGGTGCAGTGCTGAGTCTATGGTGCAGTGCTGAGTTTATGGGCAGTGCTGAGTCTATGGTGCAGTGCTGAGTCTATGGTGCAGTGCTGAGTCTATGGACAGTGCTGAGTTTATGGGCAGTGCTGAGTCTATGGTGCAATGTTGAGTCTATGATGCAGTGCTGAGTCTATGGTGCAGTGCTGAGTCTAAGGACAGTGCTGATGTGTCCATCCTTGTGTCGATTACGTCTCGCGTCCACGCTGTCCGTCCATTTGTCCAAGGACGTTCCCGGCTCCCCTGTCCGCACGCACAGAAGAGGTTCCCGTCGTCGGCGCATAATTGCCGAGCGATTTAATTCCCATTAAAGTAACACGCTTCGATTGGCCGACCTCGCGAACCCTTCCCATCAATTCCTACCCCTCCGGCCACCACCCCCCCCCCTCTCCACCGCCCCCACCCCTCCACTCATCCTACCCCCCCCCCCTCTCTCCCCATAACACCCCTTCCCCTCCTCTACCAAAAAGCAAAGATCCCCCCTATAGCCTTCGCAGACTGTTGGGGCAAGTGCTGTGAGCGAGCAGCGCTTGTGCAGGCTGGCACGGCGCACGAGGGGGTGGGTCTAAATGTGTCCGCGCACCGCATCGGGTGCTCATCTGAGGCTGAGTCGACCTAGGATGGCGCCCAGGACCGATGCGGATAATCGTCACCGGTGTTGGTGACCGTGAGTGGGAATCGAACCCGGGTCGCCGGGTTCGTGGCGCGGAGACCTTCCAGCCGCGTCACCGCTCCCCGCATTGCCGCTTCTCTACCACCACCACCACCACAACCACCACAACCACCACCACCACAACCACCACAACCACCACCACCACAACCACCATCACCACCACCACAACCACCACCACCACAACCACCACCACCACAACCACCACCACAACCACCACCACAACCACGAGCAGCAGCAGCTCCCATCAGCACTGCGCCACGGTGACCACGTGAGGTTAATGACTCATTAAGGGACTTGTGTGCGGCGGGGCGGGGAGGAAGGGGGGGGGGGGCGGTGTTCGCCCGGCGCTAGAGAAAGAGAGGGGGGGGGTGAAGGGCGGACGTGTTGAAGTGACGACGGCGAGAACGTCGCTGCCGGATGGGGTGGGGGGGGTTCGTGTGGGGGCAGGGGGCTCGGGGAGCGTTGTGGGGGGGGGGCTCTGTGGGCTGGGTTAGGCAGGGGGGGGGGGGGTCTCGGTGTCGGCCCCTACCGGCGATCCGATGATTTTCCGCGATTCTGGGCCCCGCGGCGTCAGAGTTGAGGAAGCGTCGTATTGGCGGTTCCCGACTACGGACGAGAGCACCTAGAGCACGAAGGCGGCAGCTCGCTGCGTCGCTCGTTCTGTGTCCGTCTGCGTGGGGGGGGGGGGGGGGGGTCCCACACAGCGGAGCGTGGCGCGTTGTCTCCGCACTGCGAGTCTCGGTGCGAGTCCGTCGGTCTCCGCGAGCGAGTCGGTGTATCCTCTGTGAGTCCGTCGGGCTCCGCGTGCGAGTCGGTGTATCCTCTGTGAGTCCGTCGGGCTCCGCGTGTGAGTCGGCGTATCCTCTGTGAGTCCGTCGGGCTCCGCGTGTGAGTCGGCGTATCCTCTGTGAGTCCGTCGGGCTCCGCGTGTGAGTCGGCGTATCCTCTGTGAGTCCGTCGGGCTCCGCGTGTGAGTCGGCGTATCCTCTGTGAGTCCGTCGGGCTCCGCGTGCGAGTCGGTGTATCCTCTGTGAGTCCGTCGGGCTCCGCGTGCGAGTCGGCGTATCCTCTGTGAGTCCGTCGGGCTCCGCGTGCGAGTCGGCGTATCCTCTGTGAGTCCGTCGGGCTCCGCGTGTGAGTCGGCGTATCCTCTGTGAGTCCGTCGGGCTCCGCGTGTGAGTCGGTGTATCCTCTGTGAGTCCGTCGGGCTCCGCGTGCGAGTCGGTGTATCCTCTGTGAGTCCGTCGGGCTCCGCGAGCGAGTCGGTGTATCCTCTGTGAGTCCGTCGGGCTCCTTTGACGCTCTCTGTGCTCCGGTGCGAACGTGTCATTTGCGTCGCCTCGTGTGGTTAGCGACGCAAATTTGAAAAGTAGAGAGAGAGAAAGAATTAAATTAAAATTGTCGCCATCGCGGAGACAAATGGAGGCCGGCCGAGTCCTCCCCACGGAATGTGTCCTCCCCCCGCGTCCCGCTACCGCCCCTCCGTGTCCCCACGTGTCCCCGTGTCCCCACGTGTCCCCCGTCCGCCTCGTCCCTGGCCCCCTGTCCCTATGTCCCCGTGTCCCCGTGTCTCCACGTGTCCCCGTGTCCCCATGCATCTCCGTGTCCCCATGCATTTCCATATCCCTGTGTCTCCACGACTCCCCATGTCCCCACGTGTCCCCGGTCCGTCTGGTCCCTGGCCCCCTGTCCCCGTGTCCTCATGTCCCCCTGTCTCCCTGTCCCCCTGTCCCCATGTCCCCGTGTCCCCGTGTCCCCGTGTCCCCCTGTCTCCCTGTCCCTGTGTCCCCATGTCCCCGTGTCTCCCTGTCCCCCTGTCCCCGTGTCCCCCTGTCTCCCTGTCCCTGTGTCCCCATGTCCCCGTGTCTCCCTGTCCCCCTGTCCCCGTGTCCCCCTGTCTCCCTGTCCCCGTGTCCCCATGTCCCCGTGTCCCCCTGTCTCCCTGTCCCCGTGTCCCCGTGTCCCCTTGTCCCCCTGTCCCCATGTCCCCGTGTCTCCACGCGTCCCGGCTCTCCTGTCCCGTCGCCCCCTTCTCGTCGCCTCCTTAACCACCCCCACCCCAATCCACTCACTGACACCCCCCCCCCCCCACTTCTTCATCGCTTCTCTTCTAACCTCTATTCACCTTCACGCCCCTCCCCCGTGCCCCCCCGTGCCCCCCCCCGCCCCCCCAGGCACGGCAACCTGAGCGTGCGTCCGCGCCAGCTCCCGGGGCTGGTGCGTGGAGGAGTCCCCGAGGCGCTGCGGGGCGACGTGTGGCAGCTGCTCGCCGGTTGCCGTGACGACGACGCCATGCTTGACAACTACCGCATGCTCGTCGCCAAGGTGAGCCAACGTCGCCGCGGCAACCCCCCCACCCCCCACCACCACCCACTCCCTCCCCACGTGACGCCGCCACCGGCCCTCGACCTCCCGCGACCCTTTCCGGTGACCCCGTGAACTGACCGTGACCTGCCTGTGACCTCCCCGTGACCCCGGGTTGAATCGCCCCGGTGTTCAAGACGACGTGCACCCACTATTCTACTTGGATTTTTACTTTTTTACATTTTTGCTTTTGCGTTGTGACCGTCCGGAGCACCCACGGTAAGTGAGCGGCGGCATCGCGCCCCTCGCGTTGAACAGCCGCCCCGCGGAAGTGGATGTCACGGAGCTGCTTCCAAGGTCTCCCCCTGTCGTCGCAGCTCCATCGCGTGAGCTGCTTTACCTTTACCTTTGGCGTCGCGCCCCCTCCTCCCACAGCCCCCCCCCCCGTGTTCATTTTCGTGAGTGATGAGCCGGCCGCCGGCGCCTCGACGAGTGAGGAGCATCTGGGCTCCCTCCCCTGATGTACAAGGGTGCCTCTGCTGTTGCTCGGCACAGCACTATAGCTTGGACAAACTTCGTAAGATAGGATCACAGAGCTTGGCAAATTGTTGGAGGTTGAGTGTAACCCCCTCTCCCGCCGCCCTCGCATGCACGGGTTTTCTCCGGGTACTCCGATATCCTTCCATTCGTTTGTAGAGTTAGCCAAATACACAATTATTAGCAACGCCGGTTCTGACTGCCCTTGCCGCTTGTCTGTGAATCAACGAAAACTGTGCGTATTTTAAATTGTACGTTATTGTTACTGGGGAGACGAGGGTGACCGCTCTTTGCCCATCACGTCGTCGAACAATGGTTACTTGGCAATTTTGAGAGAGATCACACACACTCACACATCCACTCACCCACTCACTCATTCACCAACACACCCACACTCACCAACTCACTCACCCACACTCACCAAATCGCTCATCCATAGACTCACTCACACACTCACTCAACCACTCACGCACCCACTCACACACCCACTCACACACTCATCCACTCACTAACACACACACTCACACACCCACTCACACACCCACTCACACACCCACTCACACACTCGCTTCCCCACTTACCCACTCACCCACTCACTCACCAACTCTCACTCATCCACCCACTTACTCACCAACTCACTCATCCGCTCACCCACTCACCACCACCATGATCACCATCATCACTATTACCATCATTACCACCTCTATCAACATTATCACCACTACCAACACCACCGCTTGCACCACCACAGCCACCACTATCACCATCATCACCATCATCACCTCCATTATCATCATCATCACCACCGCCTCTTATCACCACCAAAATACAAAGATCCCCTGTGTAGCCTTACCAAGCTGTTTGGGGCAAGTGCTGTTAGTGAGTAGCACCTATGAAGGCCGGCACGGCACACGAGGGGATGGGTGGCCAGCACCACGCCCGGCCGCCTTTGTCTCCCCGGTGGCGATGTTTACACACCGCACCAGGTACTCATTCGAGGCTGAGTCGACCTACGCTCACCGCTGCGGCCACCTCTGCTACCGTCACGACCACCACCAACCGCCTCGATCACCACCGTCACCACCACCAACCGCCTCCATTACCACCACCAACCGCCTCCGTCACCATCACCACCGCCACCACCACCACTAACTGCCTCTCTCACCAACGTCACTACCACCAACCGCCTCTATCACCACCGTCACCACCACCAACCACCTCCATCACCACCGTCACCACCACCAACCGCCTCTATCACCACCGTCACCACCACCACCAACCGCCTCTATCACCACCGTCACCACCACCACCAACCGCCTCCATCACCACCGTCACGACCACCAACCGCCTCTATCACCACCGTAACCACCACCACCAACCGCCTCTATCACCACCACCACCACCACTAACCGCCTTTCTCACCACCGTCACTACCACCAACCGCCTCTATCACCACCACCACCACCATCACCACCGTCACCACCGCCACCACCACCAACCGCCTCTATCACCACCGTCACCACCACCAACTGCCTCTATCACCACCGTCACCACCACCAACCGCCTCTATCACCACCGTCACCACCACCAACCGCCTCTATCACCACCGTCACCACCACCATCACCACCGTCACCACCGCCACCACCACCAACCGCCTCTATCACCACCGTCACCACCACCAACCACCTCCATCACCACCGCCACCACCACCAACCGCCTCCATCACCACCACCACCACCACCAACCGCCTCTATCACCACCACCACCGCCGTCAACAGCAGCAGTGACCAACCCCCCATTAACATGAGCAGCACCGCCACCTTCCACCACTCCACGCCTCTGCCGCCCACGCAGCTGTATTAATATGCGGCGAGTGTGCTTGTTCTGTGTGTGGTTGTATTTTAATCAAATTCCTCTTTTCTTTGCTGGGGGGGGGGGGGTGGGGGGGGCTCTTGTGACTCACATCTCGCGGCACGCACTCCGCACCAATTGCGCTGCCTCTTATCATGGTCCCGGGCATTCACGGTCTGATCACGATCCCAACGATCCTGGCCGCAACGCGGGCCCGGAGATTCTGGCCAGAACGCGATCTCGGCGATCCTGGCCGCAACGCGGGCCCGGTGATCCTTGACGGAACGCGCTCCCACCGATCCTCGCCGGTTAATTGCCGGTTCCTGTCACACTCGTGGAGTAAAATGTCGAGAGCAGTGAGCGGTTTTGTTGAAACCGGGCAATGAGGGCGAACGTGTGTACCGCGTTGTGACCTGGGCCTGCCGCCGTGCTGTTTGTACGTCGGCGTGAGCCAATCGGTGCTTTGGATAAACCCAGAGGCCACACGCAAAGACAAAGATCCCCCGTGTAGACTCCACGGACTGTTGGGGCAAGTGCTGTTAGCGAGCACCTGTGAAGGCCGCGACGTCACACGAGGGGGTGGATGGGCAGCCCCACGCTGGGCCGCCTTTGTCTCCCTCGTGGCGATATTTTTAGGCATCGCACCAGGTACTCATTTGAGGCTGAGTCGACCTAGCGGAGGCCCAGGACCGGTTCAGATAATCGTCACTGGCGTTGGCCGTGAGCGGGAATTGAACTCGGGTGGCCGGGTTCGTAGCGCAGCGCGCTCACCATTGCGCCACCGCTCCCCACACTCACACACGCACGCACATGCGCAAACACACGTACGCGGAAAGCCACCTAGCCTGGCACGTGCCAGCCTCGGTGGCTCGTGCCAGGCTAGGTGCACCCGAAGGTTTCCTCGTGGCAGCTGAGATTTCTTATCAGCTCGTAGCTACGGGCCCTTTGTTCCACAGCCCCTCCCCTCCCCCACGCTACCCCCCCTCCACACAGCTGACGAGGTCAAAGGGGTCGAACACTTCACACCTGCTCGCGATAACAACAACAACCGCTGCACCACTGCCATTGTCCCACACCTCTAAGTAGCACGCTTGGCTACGCGCGGCGCGAATGAGGTTCAACATACGTACAGGTGGAAATGGTGGTGATTGTGGTGATTGTGGTCATTGTGGTGATTGTGGTGACATTTTCTTGGTTCTTTCGGTAAAGTCACGTAGAATGGAAATAATAAAATAAAACATTATAAAATAATTCTCACGACGTTTCGGCCACAACGCCGAAACGTCGTGAGAATTATTTTATTATGTTTTATTTTATTATTTTATTATTTCCATTCTACGTGACTTTACCGAAAGAACCAAGAAGATGAATCCCTGCAGTCACGAAAGCTTTAAATCGAAGAAAAAAATATTGTGGTGACGTTCATCGTGGTGAAAGTAGTGGAGATGGTGATAATGGTGGTGGTTTTGATGATCCTCCGGCTTTTCCCTCCACATTTAGAATCAACATCAGCCGTTCAGAGTATTTTGCTGTTCTTGATTTCCACGCGACGAGCCACTTCGTTGAGCTACCAGGTGTGATGGGCAGGTCGTTTCTGATAGAGAGCTTCATATAGCTCAGTGGGGCCTTGCCGGGTAAAATAAAAATTAACAATCGTGTCGTTTAGTAGTGGGGCTTCTTTAGCGAATGCTTTTTCACAGTTAGCGTATCGGCTACACGAGAGAAAAAAAAACAACCAACCCAAATGAACACGCTGAATATATGTACGTCGATGTTACATTGCAAGTGGACGTCAACCCACGTGGCCACAGAGCCACGCGGCGTCTTCCTTGCCGGGGGGGGTTCAGCGTGGGGTGCTCCCCCCCCCACCCCTCTTCCAAGACTCCGAGACGACGCCGGCCTGGACGAGTGGAGCCACGTGGCACCCTCGAGCGGGCGGCCGGAGGGGTAGAGGGCCCCGTCCGCCGGCAGGCAATTGCAGGGCTGCGCCTTCAACTCCACCTGTGCCGTAACCCTTGCCAGCGCCGCGTCTCCGGCAGCGTGGGGGTCTACGCGGACCCCCCACCGCCCCCCCCCACCGCCCCCCCCCACCGCCCCCCCCCCCGCCCCCCCCCCCCACCGCCCCCCCCCCACCGCCCCCCCCCCCACCGCTACTTTGCCCCGCGGCAGCTGTCGGCGGGTACGACGTGCCAGGGCGGTTTAAACGAAACGACGACAAATTGTTTGAGTTTGTGTTTGACCAAACCGCCGAGATGGAAGTCAGTAGCGTGTCACTACCACTGCCACCGCCACCATCATCGTCATCGTCGTCGTCATGATCGATCCACTGCTGGATGACGACGGTGACGGTGATGATGATGATGATGGTCTTGTGGTGTAGGCCCCACGAGCGAGGCACCGTCTGTACGTTCGGGGCACGCCCGGCGAGTCGGGGGGCGCGCCCCCGTTCTCACACGCGCCGCCCGTGTCATTAATTAGCCCTCTCGCTCTCTCGCTCTCACCCAGCCTCTCTTCCTCCTCCTCCTCTCCCCCCCCGCCGCCACCGCCTCTCCCATTCACTGTTGTGGTTGTTGCTGCTGCTGGAGATCAACGAATTGTGAAATTGAATTACCCTCCAAAAACACAAACGGGG